GCATATACATTTATTTATATTTATCTATATTCTATGTATTATTTATATTTATACATATAAAAAAGAGGCGGGCCTTCAACTATAGGGGCGTGGCCACCATCTTGACCTTTTTGACCCCCCTGCAATTCACCGTGAATGAGTCTCTAGTTTTTGCTGACATTTTATTTTATGACTTGGCTACGTTTTCCTTGTGGTATGTTGTTGGTCTTGAATTGGTTTGTTTAATTTTGCGAATCTCTCTAGGCCCAAGAAACAGCTGCTCTAAACGAGTGTTTCTCAACTTTGTCCCCTTTAAGATGTGTGGACTCCAACTCCCAGAATTCCTAGCAACATGCATGTTGGCTGGGGAATTCTGGGAGTTGAAGTCCAGACCTCTTAAAGTTGCTGAGGTGGAGAAACTCTGGGCTAAATAATGACACTTGCTGCTTTGATAGATGTAGTTACTGTACTGTCATTATTTAAACCAATATTTGTCTTAATTGGGGGGGGGAGTAAACTGGATTACACCGAATTCCTCTGCGAGTAAAACTAGTAGAAAACTAACTTCTGTTAAAAAGGGGGCACTAAGTTCATGGAAAGAATAAGAGTTTTTGCAAGTTGGAAGCGAGAATTGGAGGAGGGGGTCAAGGGAGTTGGGCTGGCGGAGAAAAGACGGCCAGGAGAAAGAGTTGTGATGGGGACCCCCCCCGCCCCCGTCTTTCAGAAGGCCGGGTCCTTAAAGGGAATCGGTGACCGGAGGAAGTCCTGAGACCAGCGCCAGTCGGATGGTACCTGCTGGGCCAAGATGGCAGCTCTCTATGGCAGCGAGGTGAAGTGCGTCAGCGTGGAGTGGGACTTCCTGCAGGGCTTGTTGGTGAAGAACCAGCCGGTGCCTTGGTGAGTTGGCGCTCTCGCAGACTCGTGGGCGTTGGGCTGGACGTCGGGCACCGCTCTGATTGCAGAGGCCCAGAATTTTGTCGGTTTCCATTAGCCCCTGGCACGTCCTCCTAGCCTACCTCGAAGGGGTGTTTGGAAGGTCAGATGCTGGGACGACCCTCCCTGCAGGCCCTGACTGCTTTGGGAATGATGGGGTTGCAGTTTTGGAGGGGCCAAGTTGTGGAGAGGCTGTCTCAAACGGAGGGGGGAAAGGAACCCTGGCCTGGAGCCGGGACCCTCCCCAGGGTTTCCAGCTGGATGCAGGAGGGGGGCACGTCCCCTGGTTTTGTTTCTGGGTGGCGCAAGCGAAGCTGAGGTGCCACAGACATCGGTCGCGAGCTGTGGCTCTCTCGAGCGAAGGGGCCGGTTGGAGGCCAGCTCAGAGCTAGTGTGTGCACCCCAGATGGGCACTTCTGGCAGTTTTAGAGGACTGGTGGCATGGGGCGGGGGAGAAGAGCCCCCGACATTCCTGTCTTTCCATTTGTGGAGGTTGTCCACTGGGAAGAATCCCCGTTTTCTGTCTTTTTCTGTCTGGTGAAAAAGACAACCGATTTATGACGCCTGTATTTAAATTCCCGGGGCTGGTGCCTCCCCAGATGGTCTTGGACTACAGCTCCCTTCATCCTGACTGTGCTGGCTGGGTGCATGGGAGTTGGGGGCATGGCCCTCCTCCCTCGGCTCACCCCTCTTCCTTGCTCCCCCCAGCCTGCAGGCCCTGCGCAAGGAGAAATCCCGCAACGCAGCCCGCTCCCGCCGGGGCAAGGAAAATTTCGAGTTCTACGAGCTGGCCAAGCTGCTGCCACTGCCCGGCGCCATCACCAGCCAGCTGGACAAGGCCTCCATCGTCCGCCTCACCATCACGTACCTGAAGATGCGCAACTTCGCCATCCACGGCGACCCCCCCTGGAGCCTGCGAGCAGAGGCCCCGGCCCCGGCGGGCAACGGTGGGTGCAAGTGCCTCGTGGCGGGGGGAGGCGGGGGTTGGGGGGCGGGGGGGCTTCGATGGCGGGCAGCCTGGACTGTCGTGCTGAGCGGGGTGGCCCCTCCGGAGGGGCCGAGTGAAAACCAAAACTGGATGGAACTGCAAGTGAAACGAAACCTCATTAAAGGGTGATGCCCCACTATTAATCATTTTCCCCTTCTGTTAATTAAAAATGACCGTGATGAGCGAGGGTGTATTGGGGGGATCCAAGACCTCAAGAGGCTGGCTTTGGTGGCACAGGCACCACCACCGTCTTGACTCTCCTGGCAGACCCCCCAAGTGAGGAGACAACCTTGGGATGGGATGGGAACGTGCCCGAGACTTGGGGGCCCTGGCATCTCGGCGTGGGGTTCAGAGGTGCCCCTCACTTCTCTTGGGAGCCACGTTGGGCCCTCTTCCCCCCTGGGGCTGCCCAAAGGTGGGGACCCCATTCCCAGCCAGGATTGCCAGCCTTGGGCAGCGAAGGAGGGACACAATGGGGAACTAGTTTCTCTGTGACCTTAAAGCCCTTTAGACCTGATTTGGGGGGAGGCATGAGAGAGCTGCTAAGGTGGGGGGGGATTGTGCAAAAGATTGCCCACTCCTGGCATGCACGGAAGCCTGAGGAAGAAGCTGAAGACGGAGGCCGGCCCTTTGAGGTAGGCCAGGTCAAGAAACGGGCCCGGGAGGGATTCCAAAAATGCTCTTTTACAGAAGGGTAGAAGAGCCGAATCCTGAAACCGATCAGAGCCCTGTTTAATGCAAAACGAATCGAGGCAGGTCTTTTGGAGTTTCACATTGTCCACTTCCTCAGGACAGGGTAGTTTTCTCTAAAAGGCCCCCCACCCACTTAGCTGCTTGCTGCTTTGCCCCCCAAGTTCAGGTCTACCTTCCTTTACAGCAGTGTTGCTCAACCTTGGCGACTTGAAGATGGGTGGACTTCAACTTCCAGAATTCCCCAGAGCTGGCTGGGGAATTCTGGGAGTTGGAGTCCA